AAGTAAATATTCTTGTGCTGAAATAAGAAGAATGACTGGGTGGTTGGGAGCTGTGAGGCTCCTAATGGTGATTGTAACAGGAAATGTCTTAATATTTGTTTAAATAGAATGATGCAAACTGCAGCTTTCTGGGCTGATATTGGATTAAAGTGAGTAAGGAGGGGATTTTTGGAGTTATTTTGCTTCTAAGTGCAGCAGAAAAACGAGCACTTAAAGGTATCATGCAGCTGATGGAAATCTACAGTTCCCAGTAATTTGCATTATCAGGCATGATGTGTCTCCCAGACATTTTAAATCCCTTGTTGCCTGTCCCTGTGTCATCAGTTCCTTCCTCACACACCCTGCTGGTTGCAAACTGAGTAACTGCTCAAACAAGTGATGGGGTGAAATAAAGGGTGACTTTGGTGTGCCATGGAAGAGCTTGTTAGCACAGGTTTCTCCACGATGCCTGGTGGAGCAGGCACTGAATCAGACCTGATTGGGAAGGGAGGGGGAGATTTTTTGCTGTTGAATTGCACTTATCTTCAAAGCTGCTGCAAATGAGTCCACGTTTATTCAGCAGGACAAGTCCTGAGGTTTCTATATTCCGTGTTTTTCATTGCCGTGTCATTTGTTAGGATGATTTGGCTTTTAATCTACCAATGAATACTGAATGAAGAGTTCAATCATGAATCAGATCTCTTCTTTTGCTTGCCAGTAACACAAGCCATTTTTATTTTCAATTTCAGGTTTCTTTTACAGTAGAGGACAAAAATAAATTATGAGTGAAAAGAAGTTAAAATTGTTCCTCTCCAGCAACTCTCCTGCATCAATGCTTAATCCTTCCATTATGTCTGATGTCATTAATCATTCTGCTGTAATATTTGACACACACATTTGTGGGACAAATTAAGATCTAATATAAAAGCTGCAATAATACTGACTTATGTGGAACTGCAGCTAATTATAACATATTTGAATTTTCATCTTTCATAGAAGACCTCTATAAAATGAACAACCTTTCCCACTGCTGAAATGAGACTGAGACAGGCGAGCAGATGAGGGGAGAGGGAAGGAACATCCAAGGACAACAAAAGGAATCTCAGCACCACAATGAGCCAATATCTGTGGAAAATACACTCAGTTGGTGGAGGATTCTTTTTAATTGTGGGATTTTTGTTCTCTTTAAGCTTTCAGATGGCTTCCCTATCACGACTGTGATGCTCAGCCTGTTTAAGATGGAGTGGTTTGCTTGCCTTGACACATGAATGACTGATCCTGCCATCTTCAGAGATTAAATGTCACTTCAGTCTTCCCAGGTGGACTGGAAAAATAAAGAAGACAGGATGCCATTGCAGGAAGATATTACAATGTTAGAAGGTGAGAATTTACTACATATTTTGTGCAATGCAGCCTCTCCTTCCTCTCTCCCCTCCAGTGTCTTTATTTGTAGACCTTTACAGCCTCAGTTTTTTGAGTTCCCTGTGTCAGGGGCAGTGTTTGTGTTCAGCTCCTTGGAGAAGCATCAGGCTTTGCTCTCTGCCTTGAGATCCTGCCAGTGCCCAAAGCCTCAGATCCATCTGGAGAGAGATAATGAGCAGCATGAATTCCCAGTTTGTGTATTAGCTAAAAAGGAAGTTAGGCTCTGCTATTTCTGCATTTGGGATCCTCAGTCTGGGTGTGGGCTCATCAACTCTATTGAATTATATATCACAGGTAATTTCATTTCCTGGATAGTGGATCCTACAGCTGTGCAACTCTATCCCGAAATGGATTCCTTATGTCCCTCAGACACTGCTTTTGCCTTGGGTAGTCTTCAGAAAAACAGTTAAATTCACCATGATCACTGGTTTTGCCCTCCACCTAGGCATGAGAGGAAATCATAGACTTTGGCACATCTTCTGGCTGCTGGGGTTCACGTGCAGAGTGTTGAAGGAGCAGCAGCTTCCTTTAGCAGCCATGCTCTTGTTGTGCTGGCCTCAAGCATCCTGGAGTGAGGTATTTTTCATTTTCCTGTGCAATGCCACCCTTTTCCTGTGCTGGTGCTTCAGCAGAGCAGTAATACCTCCAAACCTAACTGAAGGGCTAGTTTGAAGTTTGCAGTTCCAGGAGAGTGGGGATCAATGCCAGGGTTTTGCTTCCTCAGCAGTGTGTTAGGTGTTGTAGAGAAGGGCTGTGCTGTTAGAGATGAACACAGCACAGACTGCTCTGCACATCTGCCCCACTCGAAACACCTCAGCCCACCGGTGTGGAAGCCAAATCAATGGCACCGTTTCAGGCATGGAACAGAGCAGTGGGAAAATGGCCATGGAGTTAAGGGTTCATAGATCCCAGTGAAGGGCAGATTTTCTCCTCCTGCCAAGCCTTTTTGAAGATGTTTTTGAGCAGAAACACAGGCTTGTCCACCACAATTTACTGTGTCACTTCCTTTTCACGCTTCCCGTGCTGCTTTTCCTCACACCTGCCATTATTCCTGCAATTATTGTTTTATCCCTGGTTTTCACAATAAGACTCCACTTCCAATGCATCTGTTCTTATTTATTTTCCAGCTTTTCACTTTCCTAAACTTCCCTGTATTCCCACAGAAATCACCTTGCTGTTTCTAAGCTCCTGCCTGCCTTGTGTTCTCTCTCGAGGCCTGGAAGCTCTCTTTGGTTACCCTGTTTTGTTCCCCTCTTTCTATGGAACATCTCCCTCCTCTCTGTGTATCCTAAAGCCAATTTCTCCTGCAGTTTCCTCCATCTCACTGCTGCTGAACTTCCTACATCTTGTCCCCTTCTCTGAACTCGTTCTCCAGGTACTGGCAGGATCTCACCAGTTTGCTAAAGAGCTGCATTACTAAATAAGAATTTAGTTGCATCACCAAGGAATGAACAAGATCTGGTGGCTTAAACCTTTTTTTTTCTGGGGCCTTTTTGTCCTGGGAGGACTGATCTGTGTATGAAGGGGAATGTGTTACAGGATCACACTTGGAATCAGGGCTGTCTCAGTCAGGGTTGTGAATGGGAATTAATACTCACCAAGCACTGTGTAAATATTAACAGTATATTAATTTATATAGCACTAAAAATACTATATAAATTCAACCTCCAATGAAAGCCACTATCCAAAGATTTATAAAGAACTTGTACATTTATACCTGGGAAGGAAGAAAAATCCCTCCTTTTCTCAAACAAGAGAAAAGCCTGACTCAGAATGTCTTGTTATTTACTCATGTATTTATTTTACACAATAAAATATTTACATTAAATGTGTCAGTTTTCAAAAACGACTTGTTACTTCATTTTTCAAGTGAATTTGGCCAAGTGGAAAAGGAAATTAAATATGCCAGAGGACTGCAGTAAAAGAGATTTAAGAGTTTTCAAATAGTGTGAGAAACGGACTATAATAAGTGACCAATGGACTGGTCAGCTATTTTAATTAAAACTGGGCTTATTGATCTATCATGGATTTACCCCATCTGCAACATTTCAGCAATATTCCTGTTTCAGAAAATAGCACTTGGAAGAGACACCAAAGAAATGGAAGCTGTGAATGGAAAGGTTTTATAACTATGTGACATTTTGTACTATGGTGTCCCTGCCCATGGCAGTGGGGTGGAACAAAATGAGCTTTTCCAACCCAGACCACTGTGTGGTTCCATTATACTGCTTTTCTAACTTAATTCTAGGGGTTCACTCTTTATTAGTGATTAAAAAAAACCCTGAAATATATTGGTTTACATCAGATTTTTCAAGGTGTCATGTTCTTCAAACCAGTGGGATCTTTTAGCAGTTGCATCTTCAGTGTGGGCATTTGCCATGCCTGAACTGATTGATGCACATTTCTATTGGGGAAACTAAATAAAGCACTAAAAGGGGGCTAATAAATGTTCTGCACCAATGGGGGAAGAGCTGTGGTATCAGCAGCTTCTGGTGGTAGCTCTGCTTTGTTCCTGAAAGGCTTGATTATTTTAAATTTCTGTTTATAAGTAACGTGGTGAAATTCAAATAGCCTCAAAGCAAATTTGGCGCAAAAGCCCCTTGGTTTTTAAGCCAGAAGCTGAGTCCTTAAGTAGTGGCACCAACAGTGGCAGAACATCTGCACTGGAAGCAACCAGTGCCGTGCTCTGCTTGAAAGGAAAGGCAGGGCTGTTTCACACCCACAGCTGCACAAACTGGAGATGGTGAATGCGATGTGCCTGTTGTTTAATTAAATATTGAATTAAATACGTGTCCCATTGTTTAATTAAAGTTTATGTTTTGCTGTGTTCTACAGAGGTTGGCAGCACGTGTGTTGTCTTCTCTTCCAGGTAGTGCCTGGTGAGCATCCAGTGTTGGCAGCAGGATGAAGAAATCGGTGATTGTTATTCAATAGCTGTATTTTAAGAATGAATATATATATATAAAAATATATATAAAACAACTGTATCGAGTTTTATTGTGAAACAAGATGCGCTGGGAACTTGCTGCTTACACCATGGGTCAAGGGCTTTGAGAAACCAGAGACGGTTTTTTGAGTGGGAAACGCTGTTTTTTTCTAGATGAGGAAAACACCTCCCTTGGCTTCTCTTCCCCCAGAACCCCCTCGCAGTGCTGGGAAGTGTTCAGTCCACAGACCCCCGTACAGCCCACGGCCTTTGCGGGTTGATGTGTGTGGTTGATATGTGGGGTGACACAGGCGGGGTACGGGCGGTGGCACAGGCGGGGTAGCGGCGGTGACAAAGCTGGGGTAGCGGCGGTGACACAGGCAGGGTAGCGGCGGTGACACAGGCGGGGTAGCGGCGGTGGCACAGCCCGCTCACACCCAGCCAAACTCCCCTCAGGCCTCCCCTCAGCGCCGGCCGCCATTTCCCGCCGGGGGAGGGAGGGAGGGGCCCCGCCCTTTCCTCGCCTCCTCCCATTGGCTGCCAGCGGCGCCGGGGCGGGGCCCTGCCCCTCCCGATTACCCCTTGGTGGGCGGGGCCTCCCCTCAGCGCTGCTCTGCGATTGGCTGTCGCGGCTGTCAGTCAGCGCGGGGGGCGTGGCGCGGCGCGGCGGGCCCCGGCGGGGGCGCTGTGGCCGCAGTGGCGCTGGGGCGGCGGCGGTGATGGCGGCTGCGATGGGCTCCGCGCTGCTGCTGCTGCTCGCGCTCCTCGGGCCCGCGCCCGCGCTCGCCGGATACATCGAGGTGTGTGCGGGCTGCCAGGGGGGGTGTGTGTGTGTGTGTATGTGTGTGTGTGTGCGGGCGGCGGGGTCTCCCGCGGGGGTGCCTGCTGCGCCGGCGGGATGAGCGGGGTTCGGGGGTGTCTCGGGGGTGTCTCGGCGGGTGCGGATCCCCCCGCACCTTGTCCGGCCTCCCCGCCGCGGAGGGTCCGCCTTTTCCCCGTGCTGTCGGGAAAGCCGCATCCCTCAGGCCTCTCACCTGGCCGGCGGCTCCGTCTCACCGGGATGCTCGGGGCTGAGTGTTTTTGGGGAAGTGACCTCGGCATTCTTGGCACGGGCGCGGGAGCGCCGAGCTTCAGAGGGGTCTGGGAGAGTGTTAAAAGGCAGTGTCATAGAGAAAAGCCTCCGTTAAGCGAATCCATTTGTTTGTTGATGGATCCCAAGTAAATCTTCGGGTTGGAACTGGTAGCTTGGCTTTCGGGGGAGATGGTTCAGCCGAGTGTAAAGGTTGTGCATTTCCCATAGAAAAGGCTTAGATAGTTATATATATGGAGATATATATATATACATATATATATGCACACCCATATACATATATAAATACGTATGCATATATGAAAAATATATATATTACCTTTGCATATATGAAATATGTACTGCATTTGTATATATGAAAGTAGTTACAGGGGGGGAAATTCCAGCTTTGTGCCTAAAGCCAAAAGCTCGTGTAATTCAGCTCTCTGAACAACAAGATGAGTAGGGGAAAATCTTGCTGTTTTAAAAACTTGATGTTATAACCTGTGTGTTAGAGGGAAGCATCAAAACAAGGAGCAAAGTACGTGCTGAGCTCCAGACACGTAAATAGGGTTTAATAATCTACGCCTCGGTGGTGTTTGGAAATGCAAAACAGCTGCATTTGTCTTGTGAAGGTTCTGGGTTATTTAGGGAGAGATAAAGAACAGGCTTGTGGCTGCTTGTGAATGGCTTGATGTGAGAGTTTACAGTAAATTTTGGCAAGCTTGGTTAAGCAGAACATGTTCCTCAGTGTGCTGCAAAATCCAAAGCCCCGAGCTGGCGCTAATTCCTAAGCTGGTTTTGGATGTTTTTAATGTGTGCTGTGTGGAGTTGGTGTAGTCCGTGATTTCTACTTGTTTGGTTGCTGCCGAGGAACAGCATTCCCCCTGCTTTGCACCGATCCTTGTGGTAAATGCCTGTAAATCAAGGGGAACACGGTGAGAAGTGTGGGAGAACTTGTGCGGAGGTTCCCCGGTAGGAAGGGTGGTGGAGCTGCTCCGAGGGTGTGGAGCTCATCCCAGCTCGGCTTCCTTGGCACTGCCTCGGTGCTGGGGACTGTCCTGGCTGCTGGGGTCGCATCCAATCCCTTCCACCTGTTCGGAAACTCCTCCAGCTGTAGGTCACTTCCTCCCTTGCACTCGAGGCAAATTCGGCTGCCGTGCCCATCCCCCTGCAATCCGCTGCTCGTGGACACGTGCTGCGAGACACCAGCTCGGCAAACACCTTCTCTGGGGTTTTATTCCAAAGCCTGGTGTCCGTGTGATGGAGCAGATCCCGGGGTTTGGCACGGAGGGAGAGCAGCAGCGTCTCACCTCGGCTCCCCCCGCCCCGGAGAACGGGGGCATTGACCTTTCGGAGAAGGATTAAAATGAAACCATTCCTGTAATGCAATTTGCATCCTTGGAAGGCGCGGAATCCACCTTCGTCTGCCGGCACAAAATGTCAACTGTGGCGTTCTAATCCTTATTTTTGCTGCGTCCTCTCCCATTGTCTCGCCGGTGGGGGGACCGAGGGACTGCAGCTCTCTCTCTCGAAAGAGCTTTTCTCGAGAATCTCCCTCGATGCAGAGCTTAGGAAGCGAAATGCTTACTGTTCTTGGGTTTTCCTTACTGGGTTTTATCAGATAATGTGAGAAAAACATGCGAGGAATTGATTTTTTTCCATAATCGATTAGCAGCCGTTTGAAAGTTAAGGGCAGCAATGCCTGCAGTTATCGGTTCGGTTGCAATTGGCACAGTCCCATTAGGCAGATTTTCTGTCTCTTGATTATCTCCCTGTCCCTGGAACACCCGCTAATCTTCTTATCAACTACAATTTGTTTTTCTGGCTGTCCTGTACAGGGCAAGGGGAGTGGCAGTTTATTTTCTCTTTGAAATTGTTGGTGTCTGAAGCCTTGAAAAGGGCGTTCCCAAGGGCTGCTGCTGGTGACAGTCAGTCTCCCCTTCCAGATCCTCGTGTGTGGATGGCAGATAACCTCTAACAGTCTCCCTTCCAAATGAGTTGGAATAGAAGAGCTTAGAGAAACGGTGGATCCCAGCAATTAATGTTTTACTTTAGTGTATGCCTGAATTTTGCTTGTTTTGCTTGTGAAGTCCCAGAGAACCTCAAATAGGACACTGATGCCAACTGGAAAAAGAAAATAAATCTATGCTAATTTGATCTGTATTCCAATGATAAACTAGTTCTGCTGTGCACTCAAGGCCTTTAGAGAGGGGAAGTTTCTTTTTTATCACTTGACCTTTTTGTGTAATCAAATCTGAGGCAATGCAGACTCGATATTGCTTTTTTTAATCATGTTTGGTCTTTTTCCAAACCTCTTCTGAATGCTTACATCTTGTTACCTGCCTGTTTGAAATCGCCAGGATTTGGGGCGAGACAAAAAAAAAAAAACCACAAGGGCGTGCTTTGCAGCAGATTTTCAAGTTATTATTTTTGCCTTGCGTTGCTTAAATTCTCCCTGACAAAAATATCAGTCCTGTGCCGTTTCTGCAGACCTTGGGGACTTCTAATTGCCTGCTGCATCGAACAAAGAACTCCACCTAGGGAAATTTCCACTTGGTGTTCGAGTCCTGAGTAGAAACAGCTCATGAAAATTCCAGTCTTGAGCCCGTGGCCTTTCGTTTGCTCTCAGCTCCTTAAAACTGTGCTTCCCAGGGTTAGGAAATTCGCTTTCCAATGAAGGTGATCATATTCAAAGGCTCTTCTGAGCCCCCAGCAAAAGCTTCTCTGAGGCAGAGATGAGGAAATGAAGCAAATCTGATACTGCAGAGAGGCTCTGGAATTTCTGCTGCGTTGTAGGATGCCACAGGAAGGTAAGCTCTGCTCTTCGGAGGGGGGGCCTTCAGCTCTCCTCATTTCATCTGTGAGATCATCACCACCACTCCTATTTAGGCGTTAATATCTCTCCCAGGGATTGAATGACTTTTTGGTTCGTGTGGCTGTTGCATCACCTGAGTTATTCAGGGCCTGTTCTGTGGGTGGCTTTTAGCTGTGTTATAATTACACGCTGAACTCCTGCAGGAGCGCAGGGATCCGTGTGCTCTGGATCACTTGTGCTTCTCTCTGCATGTGGCTTGAAAAACTTCTTTGGCTTTTCCCTGTTTGTTCATCTTTTGGAGATGTATGGGCTCAATCTTGGAGACATAAGTCACTCTGACTGCAACATCTTCTACACATGTACCTAACCCAGAGCCTCATTGCTCAGTTGAAAATAGAAGAGAAATACTTCATCCCCAGCTATTCCTTGTTAGAACACAGAGCCTTTCCCTGTGTTTCTCCACTTGGGCATTTCAGACTCTGCTCGTTAACTCCTCAGGCTTCCTGAATTGACGCATAATCCCTCAGACTCCTGCTCTTGTGCTTCCCCTGCGCGGTGAAACTTGGTGCCATTGATTTCTGGTTCAGGCACTCAGCACCTCTGAAACACGGGGCTAATTTAAGGTGGTGCTCCCTTTTAATTGGAACACTTCAAATACTCACAGTGGCCTAGAAACCCTCCTGAGGAGGCTCCTGATTCAGAGCTGCACTCGAACTCACAACACTGCTCCTTTTTTGTCCCCCCAAATTGTTTGCACCCGTGATGGACATGCTCTGGCATCTCCTACCACGGGTTTTACCTGCTGCTTATCTCAAATGGAGTCCCTGGGGCTCTGTGCCTGTACATTAACTATGCTAATTTTGTAATCACCATTTTGGTATTTTCAGCTTTTTTTGCCGTAGGCACTGGTAAGTCTCAGGTTTGTGGGGAGAGCAAATGGTTTGACCACGCTGTGCAAAGTCTCAGAGTAACTTTTCCATGTATATATTTATTCATTATTTATTTATTTATTGTATACTTACTAGAGTGAGTTACAAAGCAGTAAGAAACAACATGTAAGTTAACTAAATATAACCAAAATTATTTACTTTTTTCCTTCTGGTTTGGGAGAGCTGATGGCTCCTCATCAGATACAGCAGGGTAAAGGCAACTTTAGCATGTTAATAGTGTCACTCAAACAGGGCAAGTGGTGCTTCAGATTGGGTGCTGTAGGGAGTGAAAAAAAAGAAGTGAACCCTCATTCCCCAGGGAGTGCACAAGGAAAAGTCCTTTTGAGGAGAAATAATTTGGCTGTGTGTTTGTGGTTTTTTTCCAGAGTAATTTCTTAATGTTAGGTTTGACTTCTTTTAATTTATGAATTTCTGCAGCTGTAAGAGGGATATATGTATGTGTATATATATATATATGAACACACAGACATGGGATATATATACACACATTTCACATGGAGATCTAGCATGTGGATAACACTTGTTTTTTTTTTTTAACTTGCTCAGCACTAGATTTACTACCTTCACCCCCATCTGCCTTCTCAGTTGGAGTTAAATATATATTTCTGCCTGTGTGTTCCCTGAGCTGTACTATCTCACGTGAGAACATGGAAAACCCACAGACCAGAGAAGACAAAGTCAAATCCACTTCTAGCCCGGCTTTCAAACACCCATAAGTTCCCATCCTTTCCTCAGAGTCTGAGTTGATGTTTAAAATGCAAGATTTCACCCTTACATGCATATGTAGTTTTTAATTTCAACTGTGGAGGAATGATTAAAACACCAGTGTTCTGCCAGTGGTGTTAAACTAATCTTTCTGGAGCACAACCTTTATGTAACGAGGGGTCCACCTGACCAGGAGGGCACGTGGCTAAGCTGCTTACAGCTCTTCATTTGGAAGCATTACAGGAGTGGTTTGTACAC